GCCAATTTCAGGAGAGGGATGAAGGAGACTTTCTGCATGTCCTCGATGAAATGTTACCGAAGCAATGCCTATACTATCACAACTAGTTCAAGGATGGCCAAAAAAAACTACGTTGGCATCTCAGAAATCCCACCCATGGCCAAAACTATAACCAAAGACTCAATCTATGATTCATTCGATAGAGAAGCCAAGGAAAAAAAGCTTGCTTGGCCCATTAACTCAAATCCACCAAATACTTTTGTTTGATTTCACAGAATTCTTTCAATTGTTATATGCCAGAGATTAAAAAACTTTAAAAACAGAAGCTATTTACCTATTTTTTTCACTCAACTGTCTGAGGGAAATGTTTTATTTTGTAAAATGCATTCAATTATTGATTATAGTTTTTGTGGATTCTAATTTTTCATTCTTGTTTTGTTAGCATTTTATTTCAGGAAAATCATTCACTTTGAACTACAGTCAACAGTCTTGTCTAGTGTCTTGGTTACATGAATAAAAAAGAAAATGCTTTCCTACTTCTTATTTACCATTAGAAAAAAACATAAACCATACCCACAGTCTTTGATTAATGATTCAACCTAGTTGAATCATTTGTTTGTTTCCTTTTTCTTTTCCCTACTGAATTTTTATAACTGTGGGCTTTTGTTCAAGATGAAATCTCTGTGTCACCCATTTGAGAAACTGGTATTTCTTCCACTAAGCAACATCTAGGAAGGGTTACTATTATATATTTTCCACATTGCCTTTTTCCAAGTAACTACTGGTCAGTTCTATTATGGAAAGCACTGCATATATTGAAACTTTCTGGGAAGCCCATGATTGGATTTTAATCAGGCTTCTTAGGGAAAGAGAGCTTACAGAGTTACCTTTTTTCTCCTTCTTTTTCTCTTGTTTTCACCCTTAAAGATTTGAACATTTTGAAGGGAACACAATGTTTTACTCACATCTCTGTCCCATCTAGGCCATGTCCACATCATTTACCTCCCGTTTTGGGGGTATATACAAGTAAATAAGCAGGTGCCAGGCATGCTCAGAAAATGCCAGCAGGAGAAGTTTTACCAAATCACCATTGCCAGCACACCCTTCGTCCTGCTCCAGTTCACCACTGGAAGGTGGACACTGGGCAGTGTGATGTGCAAGGTCGTGCGATATTTTCAGTATCTCACTCCAGGCGTCCAGATCTACGTTCTTTTCTCCATCTGCATAGACTGGTTCTACACCATTGTCTATCCTCTGAGCTTCAAGGTGTCCAGAGAAAAAGCCAAGAAAATGATTGCAGCATCATGGGTCTTTAATGCGGCTTTTGTGACCCCCATGTTCTTTTTCTTTGGCTCCAACTGGGACAGTCATGACAGGTAGAAATGACTGGTAGCAGTGCTCTGCAATTCAGATAGAAATCTTTGGCTGCCCAGCCCCACTCCTACACACCGAGATGGCAAAGGCAAGGACTACCTTCTTATGCTCCTAGAAACTCCAGCCAGAACCTCCTCCCCCTCATCTCTCCACATCACAGCACCATACCTGGGCTAAGCTCAAATTCTTCTTTGCCTGTAATAACTAGGGATATTTTTCTCTGGTTTTCAGGTGTCTATTATTTCAAATCTGGGACCAGCCAGCACATTTTAAAAATATTTTTATTTAAACAACAAAGGCCTGGCTTGGTGCCCGTAGCTCAGTGAGGAGGGTGCCAGCCACATACACTGAAGCTGGTGCGTTGCAGCCTGGCCCAGGCCTCCTGAAAAACAATGACAACTGCCACCAAAAACAGCCAGCTAAGGCAAGAGAATCACTTGAGCCTAAGAGTTTGAGGTTGCTGTGAGCTGTGACACCACGGCACTCTACCAAGGATGACATAGTATGACTCTCAAAAAAAAAGAAAAAAGAATAAAGTCCTTGTAGACAAGACTGATGTGTGTTTTTATGCTCTAGTTAACAAGAGCTGCAGTAATAACTCCAGTTGTTCAGCAATTTTACATGCATTTTAACCTCAATAATTCTGTAATGTATTTATTATTGCCTGTTTTATAGATGAGGAAACTAGAACTCAAAAGTTATGTGACTTGCCCAAGTTTGAACGTGACAGAGCTGGTATTCAAACTCAGGTCCTCTACCTGCAACTTGGTTGTTCTTTCCTTGACATTTCAGATGTCTCCCTGGAGAACACAAGTGGCCAAAACTCATCCAGGCCTCAGTGGGCCTCCCACCCACTGCCTGGTAGAAGTCTAAGGTCTAAGAGGATCTGGCTATTCTTAGAAAGCGTCTAGGTGAAATTTAATGTACTCTGGAAAGTTCATGGATTTGTGCTGAATGTCTGAGATATAGAAAGAAGCTGCTTCTCAACTCACAAGATTGTGTTTGATATTTGGAGCAAAGAACATCAACAAAACATTTAATCTATAAAATATTTATAGAGCTGGTAATTTGAGGTGCTTTCTGTAATCAACAAATTCCAAAGATAAAAAGAAAATCTCACATTTTCCTTCTCCCTTTCCTCTACCTCCTCACATTCTTACTTATCCCATCATCAAATGGCTCTCTGAACAAATGAGCCAATAATTCTTTCAAATGGCCCTTGAGTTTTATGGTTCAGACTTGTTAAAAAGTACAAAAAGCCCCCCTACT